CCCCCGCACCCTGTCGCCTCACCCGGTTGACCTCTGCGTAGCCCCAAACCCGCACGCCTGCACCGCCGTTGACCAGATCAGCTGCGTCTGCCTTTGCTGTGTCGATGGCTCTCTGGACCTCCGACAGCTTGTGGGTCCAGTACTCGACCCGGCCAGGCATGATGGGGTCCTTGTAATTGTCACGAATGGCCTGCAAAGGCAAATGGTTGGTAATCGGCTCATTCATCATTTGAATACCAAGGGTACTTGTGTCACCAAGAGCATAACGGCAAGGGCACATGCGTGTTCAGACGCACAGTGAACAGGGGGTAAGAGGGAACGGCCCGCAAAACCTTGCCCGCCCAACGGACGAAGAGGTCCCTGCACGTCGCCAATGCGCGAGGCTGACACTGGTGCAGCGCACCCAGTCTCCCTCCCAATGGCCAATGAAGAATGATTTTCCAGTGCCGGCGTAGCGCTTGATCAGGAACGTGGCCTGCATGCATTGGGTGCAAGGGCGGTCAGAAGAAGCGACAGCAGCAGGGCCCCAGCACACAAGCAGACAGCCTGGATAGCAGTCCGCAAAGGTGCCCGCCTGCGAGACAATTACCGGATTTTTTGCCGACCTCACCAATCTTCCTCTGCACAGAAGCACTTGTGCAGTGACCAAACATGCTGCAGCAGGACCCATGTATGTATGGGCATCTGCCACTTTATCAAGCCCACACCCGCAAACACATCACCCGCCACACCCTCTTACCAGATCATAAAACTCCTGATAGATCGCATCTGTGACGGGGTAGGCCCAAAATACAAACCTGCAAAGCAGCATCACAAGAACGGCCATGTGCGCGTCAGATAACCTGCACCCGCTGCCTCGCATCTCCTCCACACCCCTTGTGGCACCCTCATTCCTACAAGCATCCTCTGATGCCTGGCAAGGAGGCAGTTGCTTCTGCACATGCATGGACAAACTCCGTCATCCTGAGCCACTGATTGAACAGTTTCACACCCTACACACTTCTAGCTCTCAGAGCAGCGCACCGGCCCCCTCCCTCGCACCTGTCCATGGGCTGGTCCAGCACGTCAACGTATCGCTGCTGCGACTGGGTCACCGCCTCCAGCAGCGACGCTGGCCGGCGCGTCCTGGCAGTGTCGAGCCAATTGTCCACCGAAAACTTGTGGACCCGGGCGCCGCTGGCTGCCATGACCTAAACGGGTGGGGACGTTGGTGAGTGTGAGTGGAATGCAGGAGGCGTCCAGCTGTGCACACTGAATTTATGGACTCTGGCCAATGCATAAAACGCCGTTCTGCTGGACACAGTGCAGAAAACGCTAGGCTTGAAGGTGGTCAAGGGTGGATATACAGCGTGGCTGCGTCCTGTGCTGCCGCACCTTGGCACCCTCCAAGGATGAAGGGTCAGATGTGAACTTGTAACTAGGACCTGTAAGAAAAACGGCAGTGGAGATCTCAGGCCTGCATTGGGGCTGTTTGCACTGACGGCGCTGTGCTGAACTCCGTCTGGCAAGGAACAAGGGACTTGGTGGCAGCTCGAAGCACGACAGTTGCGTGTAGTGCGCTCCGCCAAGCCGTCAATGGGCCTGGTGTGACTGCTGCAATCACGTCAAGCCCAGGATTCATGCGCCACCGTTGAAAAATATGCTTTTGCGTCACACGCGCGCTCACCGATGATGGTGGAGCCCAGGAGGGTGTTGTATGACATCACAGCCTTGGACCTCCCAAAGCCCTGGGCGTCGTCAACAGCAGCGCCGTCGCTACCCGTGACCTGATCAGAGTAGGCCTGCATATAAAACGCTTGGTCACCCCCCTATGTTGGCGCATTCGTGAGTGTATCATTCAGGTGATTGAGCGAGCGTCTACCCCGCGACTGCCGTGGGCCGGCGCTTAGTCTGCACAGTAGACAAACCACTTGAGGGGGAAGGGCCCTGCACATACTCACAAGCAACATAAGTGCCCGCCATTATGCAAGCAGGGGCTCAGATGACAACCTGGAATGGTTCAAATGAACAAGTCACCATCAAGGCACATGCCCACCTCCAAGGGCCAGGATGCGCCGCCGACCCCCCCTTGGTCTGGCTGCTGTGCGGCGGCTGCTCCGAGCTCCCGCATGACAGGCGCCGGCAGCGGCGCACGCCCCGCAAAGGCGCTGGCAAAGTTGTCTGCTGCAGTTTCAGCAAGAAGGTGTCGTCGGCAGGATTAATTACCCTGGGGCTGCTGTGCATACATGAGTATGGGGCGGGCAGCGACCTTCGCCCGCCAACACGCCAGGCAGGTGTGGTGCGAGTGGAGGCACGCAGGCACCTATGCCATGTCATTACCTGCAGACTTGGCAACATCACGCATCTGCTTGTTGTAGCATAGAGTTATGTCCTGCAAATGCATGCGTGCATGGGGTCCTCTCGCATGAAGCTAGATCGAGCTTGTGGCGCCGAGGGTCGGCATCGCGCTCTCCGCTCGTACTGTGCCACTGCATCCCTTGAGAGGGCATAAGCTTCTTAGTAGATTTATTTTATCCGCAATAAGCCTCTGCCAATCGCGGGCGTGTGCGTGTCATCTCGTCTCGAGTCACTGGTCGCGGCAGGGCGGTTTCAACGTCCCGCTATACGTACCACAGGTAGTGTCTTCACTAAAACCTTCTGAGGGCACAGCGTTGGTTCCTGGTTGCCGTACGACACCCTTGGCTCGGCTAGGGTGCCCGCAGTGAGCGTCCCCACCGCGACCAGCAGCAGCAAGCTCCGACGTCCTGCCATGGTATCTCAATGTATATAAACAGATTATTCTACGTAAATAAGAGTTTTGTTGGTTGTCAAGGCGATTTGAAGGCGGAGGATATGGGCGGCCGGTTACTCAGTTACTTGAGGATGGACAGCAGTGGCCCGCGGCGCACATGTGGCGCCTGCCGACTTTCCGCACACTCGTGTGAAGCCTTCAGATAAATTTTGTTTGTATGCTGTGATGAACATGTATTCCTCCAACCCCTCTGTGTGCCTGGCCCCCTACAGAGTGCCTGCCCCACAACAATGTGCTGCTTGCCTCGACGGCTTGCACCTGGAGTGAGCTCGCAGAGTTCAAGTTGAAATTTGCAGATATTCGTGGATAGGAAGGAAGCAGCAACCCTTGAATATGTGATGGCGGAATACAAACAAACGCAGGACATGGGACCCATGATGCCTGTAGCGAGCGCATCAGAAAGTCATGATCCGTAGAGAGACCCCTGTCAGCAACAACAAGGTGCGCGGCGGAACTGCGAGGGTGGCTTGGTGGTCAGCCCCCCCCTTGCGCCTGCGAGTTATGATGCCTTTGCCACACCATGTATGGGATTTGTATATCGTACACACCTGCATTCATCTTGAAAGAATCAAGTGATCATGGAAGGTGATGGCGCGGTCTTTCACAGCTCGTAGCTGAGCGATGCGCAGGGTCACATGAGAGTTGACTGCCGCTGACAGCAACGTGCCTCGTCCAGTTGAAGGGGTGCCCATCCTCCTTGAATTGATGATGCTGAACATATAACAGCCCGGGATGATACAGCGTTACATGCTTTGCGTGGAGGATGCCGCCTAGGCCATTGCGCTGACAGGCACATAGCTGTGCCGAGTTGGTGAGACACCATGACAGCTATCGGGAAGCTGCCGCGGCCATCAGGCATGCTTTCAAGAATATCGTAATTGATCAAAGATCAGGACATGGGCTCTTGCCTCTATGTGCTCGGATTGTGCCAAGTTACCAGGCTGCGCGATCTGATTAACAAGGCACTCCCTACAACAACTTATGGGGGTAAATGATTTCAAGAGAAAATGACACACGCCGCCGGTGCTCCATTGGAATTCGGCAAACAGAGCGGCGCCGCACGTCGACAGCAGCTGCTGCTTTCATGGGCGTCACGCATCGCGCGATCCGCACAGCCGGCTCGTTGCGTCCCAAGCAGCGCTGGCGTTAAGTGCGCCGTGTGGGCGTCGGCGGCAGCGCAGACCGCAGCGGCGGCGCTACCGCAGCCCGCGAAGCCGCCGCGACCCATCCCGCCCAACCTGCAGCAATTTCTGGATTTCGAGCTGCTCTGGCTGAAGGCGCGCCGCCGCCTGTCCCTCAGCCGGAGCGCCACCGGCTGGGCTCTCGACGACGCGCGGTGCGGCGTTGTGCCCTGCGACGCGCCGTTGCTCGAGGCGCGCGCTGAGGGATGGCTGGCGATTGGGAGGAAGCTGCCTGGCGTGGACGGGCGTCAGCTGGTCAACCGCCACCGGCTGGCGCTGCTCCTGGACCCCGGGTGCGGATTTCGGGTTCTACGACTGTACAAAAGGCATGCAGCAACGTTACAGTGTGCGCTTCTTCTGTTCCCTGTCTCCTTGGCACCGCCCCTTGCGCATGGGATGCTGCGTTGTGTGGCAGCAGAGCAAGCACGTGTGTACAGCATGGCAACCCAACCCCACGTTTGCCGGCCCCCCATCTGCAGGGAGCTCGAGGCTCCGGCACAGCAGCTGCTGCGCCTTCTGCCTGGCCACCCGCCCACGCAGCTGCTGCTCGCCGCCCTGTCGGAGCTGCCGCGCCGCCCGCCAGAGGCGCTGGCCCTCGCCATCTCGTCCCTCGGGCCTGCGGTGCGCCGCGCGCTGGGCGGCGCGCTGACGGGGCCGCTGCTCTCGGAGCTGCTTCTGCTGCAGCTCGGGCCTGGCGCCGGCGGCGGCGATGGCGGCGGCGGCGAGGCGATCATGAGCGCCGGCGCCGCGGCCTGGAGCACGGGCGATGGCGATGCGAGTGACTGGGGTGGATTGAGCGGGGGCGTTAGCCACGAGTGGGTGGAGGAGCGCCTCTCTGCGGCCGCTGCGCTGCTGGGCCCGGAGCTCGCCCACGCCGCGCTGTGCGCCGCGCCCGCCCTGGTGCGCGTGCGCCAGGGCGAGCTCGCGCCGCGCCTCGCCGAGGTGGCCGATGTGCTGCAGCTGCCGCCGCTGGACGCCGCGCTGATCGCCGGCCGCCACCCGCGGCTGCTCGCGGCACCGCCGGCGCGTGTGCGGGCGGCGAGCGGCGCGCTGGCCGGGGCCCTGCGCGAGCGGCTGGGGTGGCGTGACGGGCGGGCGCTGCACTTTGTTGCCTGGAACCCGGCGGTGCTCGAGGCGGCCCTGCTCGGTAGCAGCTCCTCAGAGGTGGGCGAGGGCGACAGCAGCAGCACCAGCACCAGCAGCAGTAGCAACAGCAGCAGTAGAAGAAGAAGCAGCAAGGGCAGGAGGAGCACTGATGGCGGCGGTCCAGAGGACGGCGATGGGGGGCTCGAAGCGGTGGAGCGGATGGTCGAGCAGTGGGCAGCCATCGTGGCGCTCTCGGACCAGCGGCCGCGCTGGCGCGCCGCGCTGCTGCGCCCGCGCTACCCGCTCGTCGCCGCCATCCTCTGCGGCGCCGGCGGCGTCGGCGGCGGGTTCACGGCAGGCGGCGACGGCTCGTCGCCCGTCGCCGGCGCGGAAGACCTGGATGGAGAGAGCGGCGACGGGGCGGCCGGCGGCGGCGCGGCCGCGCCGGCGCTGAGCCCGCTCGCGGCGTGGGCCGACGCGCAGGATCAGCGGCTGCAGCGGCTGCGGTACTGCGCAGAGTCCGGGGACCTGCCCCTGCTGGGGCTGCGCCGGCTGCTGCTCATGCACCCCGCAGAGTTCGCGTCCAAGGCGCCGGGCTACCGGCGCTGGCGGCTGGCGCAGGCGGCGGCGGGCAGCGGCGGTGGGAGCGGGGGCGAGGGTACCGGGCTGCCGGCGTGGTGGGATGAGCCTCAGTTGGAGGTGCTGGGGGAGGTCGGGCCCTTTGACAGGCTGTAACGCCATGTATCAAGTGCTGCCCCTGGATGCCGGTTTATTTTTAACTTCGTACATTCTACTGCTGGTGGCTGGCTGCTCCTTGGCTCGGGTCCGTCATGATTCACGCGACACGCAAAGGCGCAGCAGGCATTGGGGGTTTTACACAGGCGCGGGCTCGCCGCGACACGCAGCACCCCGACAGGGCAGAACTTTCGCAGCAACGCTCGGGGGCACAGGGGGCTGGGGCGGGCTGCGCGGTGCGCGGGCCGGGCGCTACTGGCTGCCCCGCCGTCACCGCGCCTTTGTCGCAACCAGGCAGCCCATCAGCCCGAACCCGACGTTGTAATGCACCGCGGATGCAAAGCCCGCGGCGCGCGCCATGGCCTCCTGCTCGCGGCCGGTGGGGAAGCGCTTTATGGAGGGGCGCAGGTATTCGTACTCCGCGGCCAGGCCATAGGCAGAGGCGGCGGGGACGACGAGGCGCTCCAGGAAGAAGGCCTGGCGCGGGGTGGGGCGATTCACACGTGTCTGTGTGTGTGTCACGTGTGTGTGTGTGTCATGTGTGTGTGTGTGTGTCACGTGTGTGTGTTTGGGGGGGGGGAAATGGCCCGCTAGAAATATGTCAACGAACAAGATTTCAATGCATCTGAAGATTTGCCCTAACGGGGCAAGGCGTGGCGGCTTGGCAAGGGTTGTGTGCTGGGATCCGCTGCATTGAGAGCGCCGCGGCGCAGGGGCGAGGCGAGCGGGGCGGCGTGCGCGGGCTTGCCATGTGGGCCACGCCCCCCTGCCTGGCAGCTGCCATGCGGATCATGGGAAGCCCGCGATGCTCGTGAGGTGGCACCCCACAGCTGCCGACCCCTGGAATCCCACCAAAACGCCTGCATCCCGCTGCACACAACAGCTCTGCACCATGTGGAGGGAGGTGAGGGGTGAGGGGTGAGGGGGGGCCCCGGCCGCCCCACCTGCAGGCCGTCCACCACCGGGTCCTCGCTGTTGTTGAAGTCCAGCACGGCGGCCGACGCCCCCGGCTTCAGCACACGCGCCAGCTCGGCCAGCGCCCGTGGGATGTCGGCCACGTTGCGCAGGCCGTACCCCATGGTGGCCGCGTCGAAGGACGCGTCCGGGAAGGGCAGCGCGAGCGCGTCCCCTTGGACCCACGACATGCGCGCGGGTGGGCGCGACGCCGGGCGCACCCCGGGCGCAGCGGCGCGGCGCGACTCTGCGTCCTCCAGCATCTCGGCCGCAAAGTCGAGGCCCGTGACGTGGCCGGTGGCGCCGACGACGCGCGCGAGCTCGAACGCCAGGTCGCCGCTGCCGCAGCAGACGTCGAGCGCCGCGTGGCCGGGGGCGGCGCCGGACCAGCGGACGGCCATGCGCTTCCAGACGCGGTGCTGGCCGAGGCTGAGGCGCTCGTTGAGCTGCGGGCGCGTGGGGTGAGCGGCACCGGGGTGGAGCGACCCCGGAGCATGGGTGCGGGGCAGTGCGCGTGCATATGAGGAGGACGCTGCCTGACATGGCGCTCTGATGGCAGGAATTGCCATCGGATTCTCGTGGTAGTGGTTGTGACGCGGCTGCAACACCTCACGGGGATGGGGTGCGCCGCACCTCATCATAAACCGGGGCTATCCGGTTGAACAGCTGCTGCCGCGCCGCCGCCTCCTGCCCGGGCTGAAACGCCCCCTGGGGCCCTGGCAGCTCCTCGCCATCAAAGCGGCCGCTTGTGCTGGGCTGCGCTGCCGACGTTGTTGCGGACTGCAGCTCAGTACGGGCAGCCCACGCCTGGGTGTCTCGCCATTGGCGCCGCTGCGCGCGCTGCGCCGCAGCAGGCCACGGGGCTCTTGCCCCGGCTGCACTACCCAGCACCGACTGGTGGTGGGCTAGCTTATGCATGGTGACAGAATTCACTGGTCCGTGATGTAAAGTAACGGCGACGGTCACCTAGATTGTCTAGATCTTGTTTGCGGAGTGGATCGGTCGAAGCTGCGGTAAACGTCCTACAAACGTATACAATGCTCTATACTTCTCATTCATGCCTGGTACAGTGTGATGGGTGTCATAAGGTTTTGCCCCCTTGCCTGCCTTTCCGTGCCGCCGAGGGTCGCACAGGCCTGGTTTCCCTTCCCAGGCCAGCTCTGCCAGGCCGCCGCCACCTGATCAGCCTTCTGCTGGCGCAGCTGCCGGCAAGGCCATCCTCACTGTGGATTGGTTCGCCGAGAAGGCATAGCTGGTGCCCGCACTGCGTACGGACAGAGTGCTGTTTGGACCAGCTGCGTGTGCGCGTCGTGCACTGGCGCGCTGCATCACACACTGGCCGCGATGCTGTGACACAAATCCTGCACATGGCAGAGTTTGTTGTGTGGCTTCGTTACATGACGCAAGAGCAGCCTATTTCTTAGCCTGCAGCTTGAGCACCTGCGAGGCAGTCGAAGTGCAAGCGGGGCAAACGAGCAGGAGGGGCAGCGTCGGTCGCTCCGATTGCAACAGCTGCAGGTGCCTCCACCATACGCTACCCAACATGGATCCCAATCCATGTTGTTGTGGGGTCGCCCGGAAGCCGGCCGCGCATGCAGCTGCACGGCCGGCGAACACGCGGGCCGCCCTGATCCATCGCTCTGGCACCGTTCTCTTCCGCGAGCGGCCACGCACGCAGCGGTGCGGCCGTCGCGGCTTTTATGCGGTGCGCCGCGTCCTCAAAGCGCGCAGCACACCCCGCAGCAGCCGCATGCATCGCTCCAGAACCGCGCTGCAGCAGAGCGGGCTGTGCCTTACAAACGCTCCGCCCGCCCTCCCACGCCCCATACCACCGTCCTGGCATGTGCACGCTCCCTTCCAACCGCAGGCACCCCAAACATCATCCCTCACAGCCCGCCCCACCTTCTTGACGATCTTCTGCTCCTCAATCAGGAAGGCGCGCACGATGCGCTCCTTCACCACGGCGTGGCTCAGGGCGCCGCCGTAGATGCGGTTGACCGACTTCTGCCTCTTGCTTAGGCGCGCCAGAGTCGCGGGGCGGCGCTGGGGCAGCTGCAGTCCGGCGGCGGGGGGAGGGCGCCACAGGGGCCGCCACGGGGTGAATGGTCGAGTTCAGCCTGCAGCAAACGGGGCCTTGCCGACTGCTTCGCACCCGACCGCAGCTTTGGCATTGCTGGTGCCAGCCACTGCACACGTGACAGCCACCGCACACGTGACCGCCACCATGTACGTGACAGCCACCACAGAATGCTGGCTGACGTGCGGCCTCCCAAGCAACGCAGCCTCAGGTGTACGGCGCCACCGCTCGCAAGTGGACTTGACTGTCACGCAGCCACCCCTCCTCCTGCTCTGCCTTGGCTCCACACGCCGCCGCAGCAGCCCGCGGAACGCCTTGGGGCAACAGCAGCCCCAGTCCTTCCGGGTTCACCGGCACCCCGCCTCGCTGCACAGCGCGTCAACCCCCATGGCCCCCCCTCCCTAAAAATCCACCGCGGCCCACGGTGCGCTCACCCCGTGCAGCCGCACGCCGGTGGCGGCGCACTTAGGGTGCTTGGTGGGCTTCTTCTGGTACTGCACCACCAGCTTGCCGCCTGATATAGCGGGGAGAGGATGACCAGCCGATGAGCTTTGGCTCTGCGGACACATGATCAGGCCGCACGGCTGCCGCGAAAGAGAGCAGGGCGTGCATGCTCAAAGCGCCCCCGGCTGGCTGACAAGCATCCAGGGGACCCCCGCTCACCAGGGGTCTTGACGACGCGCGTCCGGTTGGAGGCGCTGTTGTAGCAGTGGCGCCTGCGGTAGGTCAGCCTCTGCACCATCTTGGCTGCTGCTGCTGCGCCGCGGCTGTGAGGGAGCCGACAGAGGGAGGATCCAGGGGCGTGTGGAACAACAGAGGCGTAACACGCCGCAGCGACCACAACGCGTGTGCAACTTTGGGCTGCTTCTCGCAATGAGGCGCACTGCAGCACCCTTCTGGACAGCTGATAGATCGTCCCGGCTTGCGGGTCAAGAGCGGCTGGTTTTGGTGCCACCGCCGCCCGCCAGCCGCAAGCCGCACGACATTGGTGCAGCAGCAGGCTCTGTGACCAATCTTGAGGCATGCTCGCCACTCCTCCGTGCTGCAGTGGCGATAACATGCTCAAGGCGTGCTCCGGCGCTGTTTTCCCTCCATGGCGTTGGTCCCCCCCCCTGGCGCTGCTTGCTGCTCTGCTGCACTTGCTGCGGCACATGCTGCTGCATCACTGCACAGGGTGTTGCCCGCTGGTGTGCAGGCGAAAGTGCTCGGCATAATCATTCGTAAAACCAACAAGTAACAACTCCCGCTTCATCTGCGCAGACACCCGCTGCCCTTGCTGGCCGCCCTGTGTGCCGGCGAAGCACACGGAGCTGCGCACCTCTTGAAACGTGTACAAGACCGCGCGTGTCAAAGAGGGAGTTGTGTGGGTCGAGGGGGCTTTTGTTACGATGCTGGGAATGAACAGACGCGGCCCGTGACTACTGCACAAGTGTGTGCATATCTGTTCTTCAGACCACCACATCAATGACATTGGTGCAAGTCGCTGTACGGGTTCCCAGCAGAGGTGTGCCTTCAATGACCCGCTCCGAGAGTGATCTGTGACGGAGTACAATCACCCTCCAGCCGCCCATATGCTTATTGTTGGCATTAATCTTCAACATCAGGCAGTGAAGACAAGGCCCAGCGTCTTGTTGACGGAGCTGCCATTTGGGATAGCGTTCGCCGTTGGGTGCCATCATGAATCGGTGCGCAGTGGCGGGCTCGGACGCGCGTAAATTCTTGCAAACGGCTGTGGGTTGAGCACAGTGCGCGCCCGCAGCCAGGTATGGACGACACCAACGTGGACACTGCCTTTTTGCGAAACCCGCAGGTACAAGGTCCTTAGGCAGCAAGGAGACGGCACATACGGCAATGTTTGGAAGGCCGTGAACCTCCAGACCAACGAGACGGTGCGCGCAGGCGCGCAGCGGTGGCGCCGGTCAGGTGGATATCACCCGCGTGGGCGGTATCCAGAGGGCCGTGATGCGCCTAATGGGCGGCAGACAGTGACATCACTCGGACGGCCGTAATATGCTTGTTCTAGGACAGAGTGAAGCGTAACGCAAAGCGAACATGGCGCCTGTTGCCGCCGCACGGTGCGGCCTGCCTTGCCCACGGCATGGGCGTGATCCGTCCCACAAAAACCTGCGAGCACGGGTCACACATAATCCTCACGCAGCACCGCACCCATCACTCCAATCCAAAGGTGGCCATCAAGAAGATGAAGCGCAAGTTTTTCAGCTGGGACGAGTGCATGAGCCTGCGCGAGGTGCGGGCCGCGGAGGGTTTCGCTGCCAGGGCCCAACCGTGTTCGCGCTCAGGCACGAGTCAGCCGAACCTTTGCCACCCACCGGCGCAGAAGCCTGCCAGCGCGCTCGGCGCCACGCCGCCGAGGCCACGCGCACGTCCGCCCTTGCCGTCACCTTGGCAACTGACGCAGTGTGCCAGCTCCACACGCGGCCCGCTTTGCTTGCTTGGCACGTCCTTATCGCCACCTCCAAAACCGACTGAGTCACCAGCAGCAGCTGCAGCCGCCAGCCCCCGTCCCACCCCACTCGTCACACTCGCCGCGCCTGCTTGCGGCCCCCCTCTTTCCCGCACCCGCGGCGCCCTGCGCGCCCCGCCTCCACAGGTCAAGTCCCTGCGGCGGCTGAGCCACCCCCATGTTGTGAAGCTGAAGGAGGTCATTCGGGAAAATGACGAGCTGTTCTTCGTGTTTGAGTTCCTGGTGGGCGGCCGCTGAGAAATGCGTGGGTTGGACGGGTCAAAGAGTGGGTCCGTGACGTGTGTGTGTGTGTGTGTGTGTGTATGAGCGCGCATGTGCGGGTGTGTGTAAGAGAGAAAGAGAGAGAGAGAGAGAGAGAGAGAGAGAGAGTGTGTGTGTGTGTGTGTGGGTGTGTGTGTGTGTTGGGGGATGGGGCGGCCTGATTGTCGCCGCCTACGATCAGCCCGCGGGCATGCGTCTGGCCAGTGTTGACCTGGGATGCTGGGTGACGCACCAGGGGCTGAAGTTTGGTGAGCGCACAGGCGACATCAACGGTCCAGCCCGCCCGCTCCAGGGCCCGCGGCCTGACACGCTGGGCACAGGTGGCTCTTGCACCCTTGGTGCGTCCATAGGCGGCAAGAGACCACGTGTGCCCGTGTCCACCCACTCACCCTGTGCTCGCCCGCGTGCGGGTGCTCGCTGCCCACCATCGTCGACCCCCCCGCCCCACCACCACCTCACCGCAACCTCCAGGACTGCAACCTGTACCAGCTGATGAAGGACCGCGAGAGGCCCTTCCCTGAGGCCCGCATTCGCGCGTGGTGCCACCAGGTCTTCCAGGGTGAGGCACTGGAGGGGGGTGAGGGGTGGTTGGTGGGAGGCCACAGGGGGACGATGGGTGGGAGTGAGAATGGGGATGGAAGTTGGGGTGGGAGTGAGATTGGGGGTGGAAGTTGGGGTGGGAGTGGGGAACTCGGCATGTATGGTGCGGGCTGGGCCGGAAATTGCGATGTAGCTCGCCGCGAGCCCCGGGGTGCGCGCCCAGCGCAATTGAGGGAGGGGGGGACGGAGCAGCAAGGCACCCTGCGGGCTGTGCAGAGCAGTGCAGGGTGCGGCTCCTGTTGCGGACAATGGTATGAAAGCGCTGCGTCGCGAGTATGGACCGAAGCCTGGCGCTCCGCGCAACTCGCTGCGGCTGCAGGGCTGGCGTACATCCACAGCCGCGGCTACTTCCACCGCGACATGAAGCCGGGTGGGCGGCTGGGCGGCAGCGTGGGGGCCGGGTGCAAGTGCAGGCCGACTACTGTGTGAGGGGTGTGGCCGCGGTCGACTCGCTCTGCACTGGCTTCCATGCTGTTTTGGAATCCCCCTGGCGTTACCCCCCTCCCCCTCCTCCTGCACTCACGTCTGGCCCTGGCCCCCTCTCCCTCGCCCCTCTCCCCC